TCTGCAACATCACTTCTCTCATCCCTTTCTGTGACACAAGCTGCAGAGACGAAATGTGTTATTGATGGAATCTTGCTATCTTTCGGAAAGTCATTCTGTAGACTAAATATACTGAAGCCTGATTTTTGCCTTTTCCTCGATCAGTCCATGGGAATGGGTGTTGAATTAGGTGATTCTACCTGCACTCCGCCTCTGTTTAAGACTATGAAATAATCAGCAGTTATTTTCAGCAAAGTGTCGAACTGCAGTTTGTCATTCTGTAATTTTTAGCCATTTTCCTTTGATCTAGAATGAAGATTTGGAGAGCACAGCAAATCAATGGAGAGAGGTTCGCAAACAAGGCCACTGAGATAAGAACTGAAGGAGAGATATGAATCAAATGATGTATTTTTTTTTCCACTAACACCACCATTAGAATGAGAGGAAAGAATTCCCAGGAAAATTGTGACAGGTTACTAAAGGCGAGGATGCCACTTGTTGGACCCACCTTTCAATACAGTTGTACTTAACAGTTTGAGAAACAGATTTAGAGTTAAAATTGGTGCAAGTGTTTTAAACTGATTAAGGGGTCAGGTTGAAGAGATAAGAACTTTGCAAGAGCTGACATAACATATTTGGACTAAGTGATTGGATTCATTGCTTGCGCTTTGCTGTGACATAGGATTGAGCAAATGTTGATTTGCACAGTCCTGTTTCTCATGTCACTAAAGCTCGACTCAAGGCAGGGCCATCATGGCATGCTGTGGAGTCAAGAGCAGTCATATCTTGGCAAGAAAGGAGAACAACTCAAAAAGTGAGCCTTGCCACTCACTGTAGTCCCAGCCCGGTTCACAATTCTGTGCCTCCTCTTTGGTTCTGATTTAAGAAGATGAGTGAGACTTCTTCATTTACCTAATGAGATTGACAATGGCCATGGAATGCTCTTTTGAGACCATAGTTATCATTCTGTCTATCTGAAGGGCAATTAGAATGGGCAACAGATGCTGGTTCTCATCCAACAAAAGGAATTTCTTTATTACTCAGTTTTTCTTGATACTACTTCCCTGCTCTTTCACTTCTTGTCATTCCTATCTCACTTTCTGTCCCTTTCTCTTTCACTGCCTGTCTCTCATTCTGTTTGTTCTTTAAGTCTTTCTCTCTCTATATATATTTCATCCTGGTTTTCTATCTCAGAAGCCTCTCTTATTTCTTACTCTCTTCAGTCTCAATGTTGCATTCAGTTTCTTCCTGTCTGTCTCTTAATGTCTCTCACTCTGTCCTTTCTTTTATCTCTGCCTCTGCCATTAGTGTTGTCAAACTTCATAACATCCAGCTTCTGAGAGTAGAGAGCCAAAGTGATGTTTTGTCACATATCACACAGAGATTGTTGATAGAAAGGATTTTTAAGGGGATTATTTTCATGGGATATTCTCAGGGCTTTCCCAGTAGGGGATCATATACAACATCATGGTATTTTAGGAGAATGCCCATTGTGAGTATTATTTATAAATTTATACTCAACTGTATTGTCCAAAACCAATGCATAAATAGTATCATTTGCAGTGGGACTACAAAGCAAATACAGAGCATTGGGAAAGGATCTCAGTTTCTTGATGTTCAATTTCCTTATGACTGATAATGCTTAGTTCTGAATTGATTTCTTTCCTCTAATTTCCTTTGATGCATTGTATCCACAATGTCTGGGAGGTGGGAGTGATCAACCAAGGCTGACAGAACCTCAAGTGATCCTTCAGATGACGTGCTCAAATTTGACCAACTAAAACTACAGATTAAGAGGACACATGGCACTTCAAATTTTTTTTCTGTTTGGCAGATTGCCTATGTTAGGCTATTGGCTTGCTCCTAGTGACAGCCTGACACTAACAGACAAGGTTCAGAGGGGTGCTTGTGGTGAAGCAGTAATGTCCCTACTTCTGAGTCAGGAAGTCTGGGTCTCTCATACTCCAGAAGCATGTAAATACATGTCTGGACAGGTTCATTAAACTGCTGAGTGACCTGGAGTACTGCAATCCTCTCTGATTTAAGGATTAAAAGGTGTGACTTGATTCAAGTATTTCATTACCAAACGTGTTTACCTTCAAACTAATTTGGACCCAGAAATGTCAGCTTTGTCTCCTTCCAACCACCAAATGTTCATAAACTGCTCACCAGATGCATTGCTAATCACCTAGAAAGAAAGGTTAATTGCCTGGACAGTTCTACAAGCCACTGGGAGTAAAATCGGAGCAGCTTTCAAAAATAGTGTCTAATGTTGATTAATTGTGAAAATATTGGAGAAGGAGAACTTTAGTTTGACTGTGCTGGTATTTGAAGACGGGAGGTTACACGATGAAACCTCCAGGAATAAGTTGAGAAACTGATTTATCAAACAGCTTACATTGCACTCAAGGTTTTGAGCCCTTATTAGGTACAGCAAATACCAGGAGCTCAATAGTGATCCATTCAATTTATCATAAAATGTGTAAATGTATTATCACCAACCTTCTGACCATCGTGACACACACGTAGCCGCAACATTTTGAGGGGGTTGGAGTTACAACAGCACCATCTCTAAACCATGATCAATGTATATTTCTATTATTCACAGGAGTAATTATTAATTTAGCTCACTGGAAAGAAAGCTCCACCCTTCACCAAAAAGATCAGGCGCAATGCAAATTTTACACCCCCAGCATGATTAAAAGAGACAACAAGGTGCAGGGCTGGATGAACACAGCAGGCCAAGCAGCATCATAGGAGCAGAAAGGCTGACGTTTCGGGCCGAGACCCTTCATCAGAAAAGGGGGAGGGGGAGGGGGTTCTGAAATAAATAGGGAGTGTGTGGGAGGCGGATAGAAGATGGTTAGAGGAGAGGAAACAAACAGGTCGAAGAGGCGGGGATGGAGCCAGTAAAGGTGAGTGTAGGTGGGGAGTTAGGGAGAGGATAGGTCAGTCCAGGGAGGACAGACAGGTCAAGGGGGCAGGATGAGGTTAGTAGGAGGGGATAGGTGGGAGGAAGAACAGGTTAGGGAGGCGGGGACAAGCTGGACTGGTTTTGGGATGCGGTAGGGGGAGGGGAGATTTTGAAGCTTGTGAAATCCACATTGATACCATTGGGCTGCAGGGTTCCCAAGCGGAATATGAGTTGCTGTTCCTGCAACCTTCGGGTGGCATCGTTGTGGCACTGCAGGAGGCCCAGGATGGACATGTCATCTGAGGAATGGGAGGGGGAGTTGAAATGGTTTGCGACTGGGAGGTGCAGTTGTTTATTGCGAACCGAGCGTAGGTGTTCTGCAAAGCAGTGCCCGAGCCTCCGCTTGGTTTCCCCGATGTAGAGGAAGCCACACCGGGTACAGCGGATGCAGTATACCACATTGGCAGATGTGCAGGTGAGCATCTGCTTGATGTGGAAAGTCTTCTTGGGGCCTGGGATGGGGGTGAGGGAGGCGGTATGGGGGCAGGTGTAGCACTTCCTGCGGTTGCAGGGAAAAGTGCTGGGGGAGTGTGGAGCGGATAAGGGAGTCACGGAGAGAGTGGTCCCTCCGGAAAGCAGATAAGGGTGGGGAGGGAAAGATGTCTTTGGTGGTAGGGTCGGATTGCAGATGGCGGAAGTGTCGGAGGATGATGCGTTGGATCCGGAGGTTGGTGGGGTGGTACGTGAGGACGAGGGGGATTCTTTTTTGGCTCTTATTGCGTGGACGGGGTGTGAGGGATGAGTTGCGGGAGATGTGGGAGACACGGTTGAGGGCGTTCTAGCGGAGGCTCGGGGACCGCTTTGCAGAACACCTCCGCTCGGTTCGCAATAAACAACTGCACCTCCCAGTCGCAAACCATTTCAACTCCCCCTCCCATTCCTCAGACGACATGTCCATCCTGGGCCTCCTACAGTGCCACAACGATGCCACCCGAAAGTTGCAGGAACAGCAACTCATATTCCGCTTGGGAACCCTGCAGCCCAATGGTATCAATGTGGATTTCACAAGCTTCAAAATCTCCCCTCCCCCTACCGCATCCCAAAACCAGTCCAGCTTGTCCCCGCCTCCCTAACCTGTTCTTCCTCCCACCTATCCCCTCCTCCCACCTCAAGCCGCACCCCCATCTCCTACCGACCAACCTCATCCCGCCCCCTTGACTGTCCCCTCCCTAACTCCCCACCTACACTCACCTTTACTGGCTCCATCCCCGCCTCTTCGACCTGTTTGTTTCCTCTCCACCTATCCATCTTCTATCCGCCTCCCACTCTCTCCCTATTTATTTCAGAACCCCCTCCCCCTTTTCTGATGAAGGGTCTAGGCCCGAAACGTCAGCCTTTCTGCTGCTATGATGCTGCTTGGCCTGCTGTGTTCATCCAACCCTGCACCTTGTTGTCTCGGATTCTCCAACATCTGCAGTTCCTACTATCCATGATTAACAGAGAGTAACATTGGACCAGATATACAATTGTATCAATTTCCAAATGGGTCAGTTCGGCTGAAATTGCTATTGTGTACGTTTCAGTTCTGACAGAGATTTTTGTTTTTGGCACTCTCTCACTGTGTAAAACGATCACCTTGATACAGGTGGAATTGGAAACCCTTCCAGGTTATTTTACTCTAACCCCTTCAGATTCTCACTTTAATTTCCTCTTCCACCATTTCCATCTTATATTTACTATACCCTCGCCCCCCATATCCCTACCCGATTCATCCTAGTTCTACTCTTCAAATTTCTTCCTCTCTCGTTGAAATTCTCTCCTTCCCATTCCCGTCTTGAAGTTTCCCCTAAATGTAACTTCCTCTTCTCAGTGGCCTACCTTCCCTACCTGAAACTATCTGAATGAGGTCACGCTGTGGTGGTGAAACAGGTGAAAAGCAGCCGCGAACCTGCTGGCTGAATACCCGCCTATTGTTACGCGCTGTGATGGGCATGTTCAACGAGCTAATGGGAAGCATGGATTGGCGAGGCCGATCCAATAGGATAGAGCAGAAGGCGGATCGGGGGTGGTGGTGGTGGTGGTGAGGGAGGAGGTTGGATCCCTTGCGGCTCTGTTCAGGTTCGGTTGTTTCACAGTGCCGGCCCACCAGTTCAGGGGAAGGCGGATACGCCACTTACGAGGGATTTTACCCTGCGCCTTTGTGAAAGTGAAAAAAAAACATCACCGCTGAGTAGCGCCAGTGAATTTGATCTTGAGCCTGTCGGACAGTCAGTGCAATCGGAAGATGCTGCTTTAATCCAGTTTAATTTCTGCTGCGGGATCTTTTCCGATTCAGTTTGTGAACAATTGCACCTTTAATCCAGGGGGGTCCTAACTGGCCATGGCTCGAACGCGGACGCAGGGAGAAGATTTCACCTTCGTCAACCCCGTGGTTAAATATTTACTCTTTTTGTTTAACATGCTGTTCTGGGTAAGTGACTCCTGTCCACTATTTCACGTTTAAACTCGTCTTGATTTATCTCTGGTTTTCTGCCTCCTCAGTCTCTGTGTTCATTTTTTTCTCCTAAACGGCTGCAAACTTGCAGCTAGGCAACCTGTCCTCCTCCGTAGTCCAGGCATGTTCAGCTAGAGACTAGCTGGAGCACTACAGGCATTTCGTGTTTCTGATCCCCTCCATTTCATTATAAACATTGTCAGGCCAACCACCCGGGGATTTCAACGCACCAGTATTCAAGGAAATTTTTTTTAAAAAAACCCGGAGGTCCCCTATGTTTCGTAACTCGCGTGCGGACTGTTGGCAGCTTTCTGGGATTTCCCATTACTCCTCCCCCAGACATTGTAAAATTACAGACTTCTTTGAAAACACTCTTTTCGAATTGAATGAAGACCGATCCTCAGCCAAACCTCCAAATCGTTCCGTCACCAGTTCATTGCATCAAAAAACCCAACGTCCCACGAAAACAATGTTTACCAAAATGATTGCAGCTTCTACTAGACACCTTGGTATCTGAATCCCAGATTCAACACCTGACACTAAAGTGACGAGCTCTTGTGACTATTTACGTTGAGTAAATATCAAACATCCATCTGTTGACCTTTTCATCTCTCCCGGATTAAAGAATACTTGTATTTACATACCGCCGACCATGCGTTATAGCCAATCCAGTGAAGTACTTTCTGCAGTCTCGTCGCTGTTGTAGGCCAAGTTGCACACTGCAAGAATTCACAAACAACAATATAATAAATGTTATTAACTGTTTACCTGAGAGGAGCCGTTTGATTCCATGAGATGCGCGGGCTTGCTCCTGACATTGGGCCCATCCCACTTTAGACTAAAGCGGAGTGCTGCAGTTGCTGGAAATATGAAACAAATGCAAAATGTTGGAAATACTCAGCAAGTCAGCATGTGCAGAGAGAAAAACATAGTTAACACGTCTGGACTGTCACATTTCATCACCATTTAGAGGGTGTTGGCTTCCAATCAGAACCAGGCAAATGTTTGCCCATGTTTAAAATTTATTATTTCATGCGTTGTGGGCACCAGTGGCTCAACAAATATTTATTACCCAGCCCAGCTACCCTCCAGAATGTGGTGAGAAGGTGGGGCACTGCACCTTGACTGCTGCAGTCCACCAGAGTGCCATTAGGAAGTTCCAGGATTTTGACCCAGTTACAGTAAATGAACAGTAATGTATTTGTAAGTTAGTTCTGTGTGCATCTTGGAGAGGAACCTGCTGGTGGCGGTGTTCATGTTTTTGGCTGCCCTTGATGTTCTAGAAGGAGAAGGTCACTGATTTGGAAGGTGCTGACAAAGGAGCCTTGGTTAGTTGCTGCAGCTCTTCTTTTAAGAGGCTGCTGTGCGTCAGTGATGAAGGTTGTGAATATTTAAGACTGTACATGTACTACCAATCAAACAGATTACGTTGTCCTCGGTTCTGAGCATCACGAATATTGTCAGAACTGCACCCATACGGACAAGTGGAGAGTATTCTATCACACTGAGATGGTGTACAGGCACTGGGGAGTCAGTAGATGAGTGAAATTCTCCATCTCTGATCTGCTGTTGCAGCCACAGTGTTTATATGGCTGGTCTGGTTTAGTCTCTCTGGTTAATGGTAACACAAAACAGTAAGGCCATCGATAATGGAGGGAAAGTTAGTTAGACTCTCTTGTGTTAGAGATGGTTGTTATCCGGCAGCTGTGGCACAAATATTACTTGCCACTTATCCAAATTTCCCAAGTCTGAGTACAGTCTAGGTCTTGCTGCATTTGGCTGTGGACAGTTTCAGTATCTGAGGTGTTGTAAATTGTACTGAACATTGTGCAATCATCTGCAAATGTCCAACTTCTGACCATGAAATGGATGGGAAGTCATTGAAGCAGTTTAGGATTGCTGAGCCTAGGACACTGAGTCAGCAGTGGGACTGGGATATCTTCCCCACAGATTAACTGAGCTGAATTATTCAGTTCAGTCCATTTTACCTGATGATTATTACACGCAGCTACAAATCCTTCGATACACTGTGCTTCAGAAAATTATCAACAACTGTAGAATTTTGCCTTTGGTTATTCTGGTCTACCTTTGGCTGGCTTCCCATGCTTCAGCAGAGTGGGGTCACAGAACTTTGGGCTTGTAAGAAAATAAAACATTCTTGACATGTTCCTAACAACTTGCATATGTTTTGCAGGGTCTTTAATATGTTTGACAGAGTAAAAATATCAGTTTAGTCTCCTAAAGTGGACAAGATCATAGCTTGTACAGTGAGCAAGGTGTACTGGATTGGAAGAAAGGCTGCTTCACATTCGAGTTTTGGGGCTCGGGTCATTGGTGTACAAGTGCTCCAGCTACTACCACAGAATCTGGACTTTTACAAGGATGAACAAAAGCACCCCACAAGGAATGTTCCTTCCTGAAAGCAAATGAAAAGGGAAGAATAGATTTTGGTTCTTAAATTGTGCTATATGTGTTAAGAAATGATCTGGCAAAGGCTGAGACCGGCGGGATGATAGTTGATGGTAAAGGAGACCATCTCAATGGTGGGGAATAATCTCATTGGTGCGGATATAGTCAATGACTGAGGCTGCAGTGGATCATTTAGAGGATGGGGAGCCAGCCAAATGTAGACTAGAATAACCAAAGGCAAAATTATGTGGTTGTTAATAATTTTCTGAAGCACAATGTGTTGAAGGGATTTGTAACCGCATGTAAAAAATCAGATAAAGTCGACTGAACTGAGTAACTCAGCATTCAGAGCTTATGCTCTTTAACGTTTGGATTGTGTCAGGAGAAAGCTCTTCGACCAGCATGCTGTAAGTATAAGGTACTGTGGGGCAGTGCAGTGGTGTGTGGCCCTGGGATCTGTGGATATAGCACTCTACTTTATTAGATGTGCAGGGGAAGCAGAAGATACCTTCAGCCACAGATCACTCTTTTTCTCTTGACCACGGTACTCTGGTCACCCACATTGCTCATTACTGGTACCTACAGTTACATACATTATATTGTACACTATATTATACATACACTATTGGAAAAGCAGTAATTCACAAGCTGTTAAGCTATTGTCTATTAGTTATTATAAGGATCTTGTGATGCTACTTTGAGGACAAGCTGGGAATCCCCTTAGTACTTTGGCAAAGAACCTGCTCACTCTTCTCCTTGTAGTTTGTAGGATAATGCTGTAATTATATTTGTAAATAATTCTTTTTTGTAAAATGCCTTAGGATACATTAGATGTGCCTAAAAGGCTCCTAAGTGGCAAAAAAACCTTCATTTATATAGCACCTTTCACAACTGCATATATCCCAAAGCACTTAGCAACCATTGAAGCACTTTTGAAGTGAGCGTAAAGTTGTAATATCAGAAATACAGCAGATAATTTGCATACACATCCAGAAAACATCAATGCAATTTAAATTGTAATTCTGTGTTACTTACATTATATGCTAAAAAAAACTCATTGAAACAAACTTCTTTGAATTGCTAGAAATTGGCTTCTGAATGTCAGGATAGTGCATTTAGTACTGTCTGTCATGTCACAGGACCAGCTTTTCGCTGGCTGTTGGCTTCCATTGGCCAACTGGGTTGTCATGGAGTTTGCATGTAGAGTTACAAAACTAATAGCAACTTGGGAGAATTAGTTCCAGTGCAGTCAATCGTTTTCTGGTTGAACAGGAAGAACCAAAATCCTATTTACAAAAATGGAGGGTGGTGTGGAAAGGAAAGGAAGTTGTTATACTGCCAATTTATCCTCACTGAGGACTGCAGCAGATCACCAACACTATCTCTAGACAATCAGAGATGGAAAGAAAATGCCAATCTTGCCAGTGATTGGTGCATCTTAAGAACAAAATAATGGACTGATTCTTGACCTTCTGGCCCCAGGGCACGGATGTTATCACTATGCCACAATACTCTTCTAGTTGGCTTTAATATATTTATTTGGCCCCCCTTTACTGTTTAGGGAAGGTCTTCAGGTAAGTATGCTATATATTAACAGCTAATAGCCAATACTTTTCAAAATAAACAACTTAACGTAAGTGAAATAAGTTTTGGAAGCACTTTCTTTTTGCCTTTACTTTGTGATCTTTTTGCACTGCATGGTCACAGGCTCCACAGCTTAGTGTGACCAATGCCCTGATACCACACACTAGTTACTGCCCTTGACCTCTTTGCAATGTCCCAAATAAGCACCTTGTTTGTGGAATCTCGGGCACAACTTGCCCGTGTTATTTTCGACATTGCAACATCAAATGCATGTAATTGACTGCAAGGCACTTTAGGAATTTCTGAGATCATGGATGAGATGTGGAATTCTTTCCGTTCTTTCAAATTCATAAGTAAATCCACTCTCCTGTCTACATTGTAACTAGCTGGTGTCTGTGTTTAATTGTATGTTGTCTCCCCTTCAGACCTGTGTTTATTCCCAAGGCTTCACAGCATTGTTTGTTTATTTCTTTTAGATTATGTGCGTCAAATGTCCCAACCCACCCCCACTTTTATGATGAGAAAGACACTGGATTTCTGTGGCATAATCTTTCTCTACGACTGTTAGCGTGTGGGGAGGAACACAGAGAAACAAAGATTACAGGAGAAGAAAGTTACTTTTTCACCTTTTTTCACCAAAATTCAAAAAATAAATCCCAATTTATCATGAAATGGGAGTTGAGGGAAGCAGGAAGAGAATACACTCGTAATTTGAATGTGCGTGGGGTTTAATAACTGCGTGTCTCTGGATGCCTGGAGTTATTGACGGGCACTTGTGGAACAATCTGAAACTGGGCACCTGTTGAACGTCATTCTTCAAACAGGATGGAATACAAAAGCATGGAAGTTATGTTAACCATATGAAGCTCTGATTAGCATCTATTAGAATATTGCAATGCATTTGGGCATTATACATCATCGAGAGTATGAGCCTTGGAGAGGGCAGAGTATGGCTCACAGGAATGATGGGGGCTAAAAAGGGT